TCATTATTTATATAATCTAGAATTCATCTTACTTTGACTTTTGCAAAAATTGGGATTCTATACAAGAGAGTAAATATGTCTTGAATAGAACATAAATGGAACTGAATTATCTATTGGTTGAATTATGGAATGCTTGACTTACAAATGCAGTTTATTTTAACAATTCAGTTCATTTTACATCTTGAATGTTGAATATTGGCTTCCTATCAAGGAAACCAATACTCAAACATTGATTGCAGAGAAATATTTAAATACTTAAAAACAGGTGAACATTACAGGACAGCAAACATGGCATATTCTTATTTTTTCTGTTTTTATAGAATCTGTGATGCATTTTTCTTTGGGGCAAATTTTACTCTCATTTTCAGTATTTAAATTAAAACAACTTTTTTTACACTTAAAAAAAAAAACTTTGAATTTTATGACATGCGCAATATTTAATGAACATGTTATTCAGTAAATATATTTTTCAAATGATTTTTTGAAGTTATAGTAAATAATTTTTTTTGTCATGAGCCATCATAAATATTTGTAATATTCTCTAAATTGATATTTTTTAATATCTCCATCTTGAAACAATTAAAATAAATTTAAAATTTGCATTTATGTAATTCAGAAGTGAATATTTCACATAAAAAATCTTCAAACTGGATTCATCATATAATTCATGACAGAAATTTAAAGAAATTAACAAAAAAATTCAGTATATTCTCCTTTGACCTGTCAAATGTTGTAATTGTTTAAATACATAACAAATGAAAAAGCAACTCTTTTTGCCTATCAGCGATAATTTATCACCACACTGACAAGTATTAACAAATACATATGGGGAAAAGTAAAATCTCTTTTAGTTTATATTTCTTAGCAAATTGTTTTTCATTTTTCTCTAGCATTTAATGCATTATCCTTATTTTAAAATATTAATTAACATTTTGATCAAGTGGGGGATTTGAATATTTCATTTTAACTGAGTGTAAACATTATTCTTCAGATCAAACTTCCATATCCAATAATATGAATTTTTAAGAATATGATTCCAAAGATACAAGTTCTTTTGCAAAAACTTAATTATTTAAATACACATGATTATTAGTGGAGTTCTCAAATAGGCACTGTGACCAGAAATAATATTATTTTCAAATTTTGTTTTTCATATTAAGTACTCTATATCTCTCACACACAAACACATATATATGATAAGATAAAGAGCAAATATCAAACGTTTATCAATCTCTATTTGTTCTTTATTTTATCATTCTGTCAGATCCCGATCTATATTTGACCACAACATATATAACAAATTTATATATATATATATATATATATATATATATATATATATATATATATATATATATATCATTTACATATTATATATGCATGGTACTTATTGGAAAGTACCCAATATTGGTGGCAGAGCTAACATACTTAGCTGTATTGATGTGAGTTTGTAACCCTGGGTATCACTATATATATATATATATATATATATATATATATATATATATATTTTTTTTTGTAGGTACAAAATTTAATGATCAAAATAAAAGTATAAAACTTAATATTACAAGACATATTAAAAACGGGTGAAGAACTGGTTTCGCTCCCGCTCTTCAGGCTTCAACGGGAGATTTTAAAATTCCGGTTCGATTCGTCCCCGTTTATATGGTCTCCTGAAAATCCATAAGGAAGGTGTACCTTTACGATCGATTTTATCTATGATCGGTTCAGCCCAACACAAGGTAGCCCAATGGCTCTCCACACTCTTAGATCCTGTGTTGCAGTGCTTGGATGGATTTTGTATAAAGGATTCCTTTTCCTTTGTCGACCGTGTTCAAAATTTATCTTCTTCTGGTAAGTTCATGTGCTCTTTCGATGTCTTCTCCCTGTATACTTGTGTTCCTTTTAATGGAGGCCATTGATATTTGCTGTGATTTTCTCTATCGCAGTTCATTGACTCCACCTAGTTTTCCTGAGTCAATATTTCGCGAATTGATGAAATTTGCCACGTCCTCTGTCGAATTTAGTTTCAACAACACCATGTACTGACAGATCGACGGAGTTGTTATGGGCTCGCCTTTGGGTCCGGCACTTGCCAACATATTTGTTGGCTTTCAGGAAGAAAAGATACGAAAGAATCCACTTTGTCCTCAAATGTACTGTCAGTATGTTGATGATACCTTTTGTTTATTTAACAATGAATTTGAGGCTGACCAGTTTCTTTCATTTTTAAATGGTATCCATCCAGCACTGAGGTTCACTATTGAAAAAGAATCCAATCATCAATTGGCCTTTTTGGATGTATTAGTACATCGCACATTAACAGGTTTTTTCACTTCCGTTTATAGAAAACCTACTTTCGCAGGGTTGTACACACGATAGGACTCTTTTTGTCCAACTAAGCGCAAGATTAACATTATTAAAACCCTCCTATATAGAGCATTAAAGATCTGCTCTGAGCCTTTCTTGAACGACGAAATCGACTTTATTAAGGATACCCTATGTAATTTGGGTTATCCTCTTGATACTGTTAATTCAGTTATCCGTAGTAAAGTTGAAGAGTTCAGAAGTGCCGAGCTCTACACTGTCAAAAAATGCCCAGTTTACCTCAGATTACCCTGGATTGGTACCAAATGTGAAAAAATAGCTAAACAAATTTCATCCAATGTTCGTTGTTGTTTTTTCTCTGCTGAAGTTCAGATTATTTTTCAAACTTGGCCTATGTTTCGATCTGTATGTAAAGACGTTCTCCCTCCCCATCAAATTAATTCAATTATTTATGAATACGTTGCAGAGCCGACTACATAGGGAGAACAACTCAACGTTTAGACATGAGAATAAAACAACACGTTCCTACAAAAATTAGAAATCACACCTTGCTTTTGAATGGACTCGTCCCGAGCACCTATAGTTCCGCCATATGCGAACACCTATTAAAGAACAGAGATTGTGTAGCCAAATTTAGTGTTGACTGGTTCACCGTGTTGTCCCGGTCTCACTCCTTATTTCATCTAAAGGTTCTGGAGGCACTTTACATCGGGTCCCATAAGCCTTCTTTGTATAAACAACGTGAGTGTTTGTTGGGACTCGCTATCATTTGCCTCTAGTTCCCTTTTTCTAATATTTTTTTTTTTTCACAACTTCCTTTTATTGTACATTTTTCTGTGTTAATTTAAAATCTCCCGTTGAAGCCTGAAGAGCGGGAGCAAAACCAGTTGCTTCGCCCGTCTTTAAGTTTTATACTTTTATTTTGATTATATATATATATAATAGGTGGGTTAATAAAATTTGAAGAATAAAAAGCCAACAAAATGATACCAATATTGTCAATATATTTGATATTTATTATATATTAAACTTTTGATGGAACTGAAGCCTGAAGAGATGGATTTTAATGTCAGAATTTTTTAACACATCGGTGTTCGTTTTAATCATATATGTAATTAAAATTATATATATATAAAAAACAAGAGGAAAACCTATTTTTAGCCAACATGTTTCATATAAATAAAATATAAATATATAAAAAATATATTTCTTGAATATTACCTGCTTACCAGACTTTAAATTATGGCACTTTGTGTTCTCCATGTTTTGACTGACTTTTCAACTTACCTGATGAATATTCATAAACATTCTCAAGTGTTAAATGCCTTGATAAACCAATGACAGCCTTGCTTTTGTATATAAACATGTGCAACAAAATAGATCCTACATTTGCCTTGATAAAGTCCCCCAAGGGATGAATCACATCAGCTAAGGATAGTTTTTCCTTTTGTTTGTATATATATATATATATATATATATATATATATAAAATTTTGAATTATATTTCTTTATGAATTAGTTTGTCTTGTAAATTCATTGTCAATGATGGAAACCAAAATAAATATGATCATATGATGTGATTTCTTAAAATGTAAAAAAAATTTTTTTTTTTTAAAAACATGTTCAGAAATCATGTTTTATGAACATACATGTTCTAGCTTACATAGTGGAATCAATTTACAATGAATTTATATATCAAACTGGATCCCCCACTATTAAGTTTTATAAAATTTAATAAATCATTTTGTTTGTAGATATTTGTAATTTAGAGTGTTTCATCTAGATTTTTGAAAATTTTTTTTCCTTGTCACAGTGTTGATTGTTTGTACATTTGGGAGTTGAAATGGCTCGATGTAACCATAAGTTTTATGTTAACAGTTTCTTCTATTGTGTTTTGTCACTTTTCCAGTTTCTTGCTTCCCAGTCAACTTGATCTTCAAAAATTTAAATGGAATGTCAATTGTTATCTTCTGTCTTCTTATCCTTTTATTGTCCTCTCTCCTTAATAGTAGTTTTTATAATATTCTGTAAAACTCCATAATCTCTTGCATCCTAGTCGTTTTATTGATGGATAAAAAAATTAAAAAAAAAAAAAAAAAAAACAAAAAGAAGAAACAGAAAAAAGGCTGACATAAAAGAAGATTGATGTTTAAGGGATGAAAATATATGAATGGCTAATGATATTGATTATATGAAATGTTAGTTTAGCAGCAAAAAGCGACCATCTATTTCACTGGATTGGCTTGGTTTATGATGTACTTAGTCGTTCTACTATTTTGTGAATTAATCCCTTACTATTTACCAGATACCTACTTTTTATTTTACTAATATTCATCCTATACAAAGCCTAAAGGCTTTGTGAATGTAGAGGATTACTGTAGCAGTTATTGTGTGAGCAATAAGAATAAAAGGACACAGTCTATGCAGGTATATGGGAAAGATAATGGTTAATCCTAGACTTGAAGAGCTTAAGATTGTAGCAGTCAGGAAAGCATCCTCTTGGGATCTACAAATAAACAAGAAGTTACCTAAGTGGAACTTACTCCTTACTAAACTATTACTCTTAAATTATGGTAAACAAATCTATCTCTATATAATGACCAGAAAAAAATTGTATGTAAAATAGTAAATGTAAAACAATTAGCAAGAAATTAAAAACAAACGGCTGATGGTTAGTGAGGCTGGTATCTGGACTGTTGTAATAGGAAAAAGAAATTTTTCACACACATCTCTATACTTACAGTATTGCCTTCTTTCAGCACTAGAAGGTCTTCGTAACCGGCGGCTATCAAGCTGCTGTAGCTGTTGTTGTAATTGCTGCTGCTGCTGCTGTAATTGTTGGTGCTGTAATTGTTGTTGTTGTAACTGTTGCTGCTGTAATTGTTGTTGTTGTAACTGAAGATGAAGTTGTTGCTGCTGTTGATGATGTGGTGATAACTGTGTGTGTGGATGAGAGAGTTGCTGCAATGCAGCTGGACTGACAGTCCCCGCAGGGGGAGGGAATGGACCCCCAGGCGCTGGGCCTCGTGGCAAGCCAGGGGCTGGCGCAACAAACAGTTCGGAGGTTACCACATGAGCTTGACCCCGCTGTACCGATGTCGCTACAGCTGATGTCCCTACGACTGGGTCAACTGGCTCCTGCTTGATCTGAACAGTTGCAGGATGGGCCTGTGGGGTCACAAATGATGGAGGGGAAGCCTTTGTCATCATGGCTAGATTCTTGAGGGGATTGCCACCACCTGTATTCCGAAATGGGGGCAAGGGTGATGTACTTTGGTGAGCAGCAGCAGCAGCAGCTGCTTGGGCTGACTGCAGGTTGTCCATTTCACGGAAAAACTCATTCCGGTTGGCTGCATGTTGTTGGGCACCTGTGATCTGTGCATACATATTCAGGCTGCCCATTGTGTTGGTACCTGGGTAGCGACAGTCACTCCGGTTGCCATGCAATGCCATGGAGGATAACTGCTGCTGGGAGGACGGTGAAGTTTGGGGGGCTCCCGGCTGCATACAGCTAAATGGACCGCTGCCAGGGGACATGCGTTCCAGTTTGATCGGGGGTGGAGGGGCAGGTGCAACAACGGCAGTTGGAGGATAAGAGGCTGGCTGAGAGGTAGGAAGATATGTAGGGCTTGTCAGCGTTTGACTGGCAGTCACCTGGGCGGTCAGGGCAGCCAGACTGCCCAGGGGCCCACTTGTGCCTTGACTGGATGGCCGGCTAAAATCAGCTGGTTCCCTTTTGATTGAGATGGCACCTGGTGTCCAAAGAATCAATGAAAAAAAAAAAAAAAAAAAAAAAAAAAAAAAAAATTAAGAAAAGTTTTTCATAAAATATAAAAGTCAAGAAAAAAAAGTTAATGGAAAAAAAAAAAAAATTCTATTTATATTACTACAAATTAGTTGAGTGAAACCAACAAAAAGATTATGAGTTATCTAAATAACTTAAAATCTGCTTAATTAGATTTTCTTAGAAGTGTGCCAAATTATTTAAACAAGTGAAAAATTAATTTTTATTATTAATATAAACATTAGAAAATTATTCAAATGTTTCTCTCATCATCAGTTCTATGAAGTTATATCCAGAGTAGAAAAGTCAAGCGAACTTAATATAATGACAAAAAGAGCTTAGATGTCTTGCTGAAAATGTTGTTTATATAGAAATTTTAGAGAGGGAAGAGAACTTCTATGATATCTTAACATTTTTCTGTTTACAGGACACATTAAGTTCGTGATATCTAAATAAATAATAAATCTTATTAGAGTGATATATTTCAGTTTCCTGAAATGCTATCACTTGAAAAAATGTTTATTCTGCAACTTCAAATTCAATGACAGCTGATACTGACCTGGAAATGGTGGTGCTGGGGTAGCAAATTGTGGATTGGAAGGTGGCCTGTCATGAGTTGAGGGCCGCAACTGCTGAGCATGTTGCTGGGGTTGCAGATTGAAGATGCTTTGGTGCTGGAGATTCTCTGACAGCCATGACAACTGATTGTTGACTTGCTGCTGTTCCTGTTGAGGAAAATGAGAATCTAGATTGGGTCGGACTGGCTCGGCCAATCCTGGTTCTTTTTTGATGACTACTGCTGGCCAGGAAATACCTGGAGGAGCATTAGGGTGCATCTTCATTGGTTGCATGTTGGGATTGACTGGCATTTGTTGGGGAATTTGTTGGTGTGATTGTTGTTGTTGCTGTTGTTGCTGAACCATCTGCTGTTGATGGTGATGTTGCTGTTGTTGGTGTTGCTGTTGTTGTTGTTGCTGCTGCTGTTGTTGTTGCTGCTGTTGTTGTTGTTGTTGCTGGAGCAGGTGGTGTTGTGATAACTGTTGAGGCAAGGATAGATGTTGTTGTAAATGAGGTGGTCCAGGTGGGTGTTGTTGGTGAGCAGGGTTCATGTTAGGTTGTTGAAGGGCGTGTTTCATTCCTGGGATGCCTTGGGAAGCAGCTGATTGTTGGTGGGGGCCCAAAGATTCTGCCAGTCGCTGCTGGAATTCCTTTGTATTTGGCGAGAATTTTAGACAAGATGACAAACTAGATGATGCAGTAGGTTCTAGCTTGGGGATTTCTGGAACTATTGGAGGTGGAAGATCAGCCATTTTAACAGGTATCTTGAATTCAGGCACTGGTAAATCCACTTCTTTGAACAGTGCCCGGACTTGTAGACATGCGTCCTTGATACCTGGGGAGGAAAAAAAGCAGAATTTTTATTCATTTTGTGTTTATTTATTATTTTCTTATAAACAAAAATGTTATTTTTTATTTATTTCAATGTAGATAAGTCTTTGTTAAAAAATGAACGAAAGTAAGAATAGTAACATGGGAATAAAAAATAAAAGAATAAGAACATTAATAAAATGTTTCTAAGTTAAAAAAATATTGATTTATAGTTTTGAAAAAAATCCCTCAAGTCAGAACCCTTTTCTTTAAGTGATGTCTAGAAGAAAATTTTACAAGGAGAATATTGTAATGTAATAATGCTTGGGGAGAAAAATATTTCCCTTGTAAAAAAAAGAAAAGAAAAAGAAAATCCCTTGTTAACCTCAAGTAACAACCAAATATCACTTACTTTCCATTAAAGCATCTTTGAGTATTCTGGTGTTACATGGCATCTCCCAGAGAGGTTCATAAGCACTCTTGATGTCTTTGCACAGTAGATCAACGACCATGCGGACATGTTCAACGACAACATTCTGAAAAAAAGCATATAAAGACACAGTGGTTATTTCAATTGAGTTTTGTCTATTTTTTGGGAGTATATAAATAATTAGCATTTGCAATGTGACTAGTTATAGTTTGTAATTAGCACAAGAAAGTTTTGATGCAGAATCACAAAAACAAAAAAAAAACAAACAAACAAAAAACTCACTACTGGTTGGATTTAAAACGAGAACCAGATAGCATTTTAATCAATGCATGTAAAGTATAAGAATAGATCACTACAATAGAGAGAATAAAAAAAAGAAAACAAAAGAAGCATATTAGGATCATATCTGGTATCGTTAAGTAAGAAAAAAAGAAATCACGAAATTTAATATTAACCACAACTTTTAAGCCAAACAAATAAGATTTCTTTCAATCTGTTAATATATTTGATGAAGTTATATTGATAATATGTTGATTGAAACATTTCAGAAGCAATGTAATAATTCTCAATGTAAGCTTAAAAGAAATGATACTATGATAATTGTAATGGATTGGTAAATAGGATTGTACATATTTGCATATGTTAAGTAGAAGAGAAATAAAGTGTATAGTAAAGAGACAAGGAGAAGTTGACTACTGATCGTGTGTTGTAGAAAAACACAATATAACAGTAAATATTAGCCATTTTCCTACAAGGAAACACTTGGTATTCATTGATCAAGTAGCCAGTACTGTTTCAGTTGAAGTTTATAAAATGTTTCTCTTAAAACACTTCCTTTTTTTTTTTTTTTTTTTTAGGAAAAAAGGTTTCTCAAGTGCAGTAGCTGTTATCACTTTTTCCAGTATTGATGGTATTTATCAATTCACCCACAGGAATTGAATGTGGCACAAGGCCTTTTTAATGTGGGTATGTCTGAGCCCGTAGGCCCAGCCAAAAATAAAACCCATCTAAACCCGTCCAAGCGGGCTAGTTCCGTCAACCTCCCCAATGAAACCCCACCCTTCGCAGAGCTTGTTGGGTTCCTCTCTGCAAGCAGAGAGTTCGACAGACACCCGACCCGGCAGCTCACAAAGCGCAGATACTACATTTTGATCCTAGCCACCGGGCCGAGCGGGTATTCTTTTTCCAGTATTGATGGGGGCTTCCTTCCTAACCTTCTATTGAAGTGATGTGAAACGTTAACATTTTGATTATATCATTATTTCCTCTTTGAGTTACATGTACTATCCATTTTAGTTGTTGTTGCTGTTACATTTATCTTAAAAGAATCCTGTATTAAACAAGCTTCACTCTTAATTCTTAAATTCTTTCATTGTATTTTTTCATATCATGTAAAAAGTAGTTATAAAGCAAATTGCTGTTTAAAAATGTGATTATTCTGAAAATATGTGCTGAACATTAACAAGTAACTTACATAAATTGGTAATGAAAATACAATAAACTTTAACTTAAATAAAAATTCTAAGAAATAGAAATAATTTTGATATTGTGAGAATTTTGTAATTAAAAATTATTGATTATTCAAATAATTAAAGTTAATATATTTTACTATTTGTTTTTACTGATTTCTAAATACATTAAAAGGAAAAATGTGTATTATTTATCCACATCAAAAAAAGAAGAAATATTCCGAATATATGTGATACAAAACAAATTGTTTCTATTAATTTATAAAAACAAATGAATTATTTTCAAATACATATTTTTTTTTGCAATTCTGAGATGAAACCCCCAAATTTGTTGATAAAAGAAACACTATGTGTAATTCAGTAAAATTATACAAGCAGGATAAATCTGATGCAGAAATATGGAAAAGCAGATTAAACAAAGGGGAGACAATTCCTATTTTATAATCCTAATGTGCCTTCCATGGAGCAATGTGAAAAAACTAGTCTCACAGACAAATTGTTATTTTGGTGATGTTGATCTTCACTAAGTATCCTATATTTACAGCCTTGTGCCAGACTGAACAAAAGTAGATACCTATAAATATGGTCTCCACCTGTAAACGCTTGCAGTACATTAGTGATAAAAGTATTACTTATTTGTATATTGTTCAGTTTTTTTTATTTTAGTTTTTTTATTATAAAGTCATCAAGTAATTAATTTTATTGATTTTTATGCTTATGAGACATTTTAATTTTCGGAGAAGAATAAAGATTTTATAAATATGAAAAGTTTACGTTAGTTTTTTTTTTTTTATTAATATCTTTTTGAACTTGTCTTACAAGTTTACATACATTTTTGTTTTTTTAAATTAATTTCATCATTTTTAAGATAAATTTTTGCATATTATTAACTATGGATATTTTTTTAAGCATATTTGACAGAATTTTGGACTGGTATCTTCACCAAGATATCACTACACAAAAACTTTAGTGCAGATGAATAAAACCATCCTGACACTTAACAATTACTATAAAACTAATAGTATAACTATCTATCTATATTTAGAGATTAAACAGGTATTTAGGTTTACTCAGAGAGTATAATTTCCACAGGGAGAAATCTAACCAATAACATTCCTCAGAAGAGTAAGTTCCACTTCTTTGTTTATTCCTCATATCATTGAAAAAGAACACAGGTGTGTTAAAAAATTCCAACATTTAAATCCATCTCTTCATGTTTCAGTTCAGCCAAAAGGTTAATATATAATAAATATCAATTTTATTGGCAATATTGGTGCCATTTTGTTGGCTTTTTATTTTTCAAATTTTATTAACCGGTCTATTAAATCTGTATATGAGTTTCAGATAGAGTACATCTGTAAAAAGACTATATGAATAAAGAAAAAGTTAGCTAACACATTTTATCCTCCTCTGAGGGACCTTATCACCTTGACAAAGTCCCTCAAAGGACGAAATGCATCCAACTAAAATAAGTTTTCCTTTTGTCTCTCTCTCTCTATATATATATATTACTTCAAATGTTTTTTTATAGTGGACATTCTTCCTCTTTATCACCAATGGGGCATCTATTTTAAATAAGTGTTCACTATAATAACATTTGAGGTAATAAAAATGTTGAATTAAAAATAGATTACTTTTATATACATACAAACATACACACAAACACAGGAATAAATAAATGTAGTTTATATGCATGCATGAATACAGTTAATATCTCCTGAATTGGTTCTCCAAATCAAAATGATTTAAAATTTATAATTTATTTCATTTTATAGAAAACACAAGAAACCTCTTATAAACTAGATACTGCTTGAATATATGTTAATCATGTTAAATTGGATTAACAAAATGAATTTAAACCAATTATTGTTTGTTAAAGACTGAATGCATTTCTGTATTTTCAATTGCTAGTATTTCCTTGCATGATAAACATTGAACAAGCTTTTTAACATGATTATGAATAAAGAATGATAAAAACTAGACAGTAAACTTTAAAAGTTACAGAAAAGCAACCAAATAGAGGACTAAGATCACATTAGATATACAAGTATAGAATAATGTTGAATTAAGATAAATGTGAATAAAATCACAGCTTTTCCATCTATATACCTAAAAATAGTCCCCTATTTTTAAGTGATTATATTAAAAAAAAAAAAAGTATAAATTTATTACTTTATACAATATGTAAATCATATTTTTAGAATAAAGCATAGGAAATAACTTTTCAGACATCCTGCATGTATGTAGATATAAATAGAGAAGAGCGATGGAGAGAGTGCAATAAAAATTAAAGGAAACCACGCTAAAACCAACAGCATGCACACACAGCAACACAAACATCTGTTTGTCCCCTTTTATACCATGTTTTGGAACAAAGTGGGGAAGAAATTTAAGGGCTGTTCCAGAAGAATGTGAAAACATTAAGTAACTTTATTTTTGTAGGAATATAAATTTGTAGGAATCAATAGACAACTTGATTTAAGGGGAAAAATTGCCTTTAATAAAAAAAACAAAAACAAAAAAAAAACAAAAAAAAACAAAAACTGAAATATGTGGTTGTAAAAGCAAGATCATTAATTAAATCTTAATAAAAGTTAATGATTTGACAGCCACTTTCAGATCAGATTAGCATATAAAGAGTCTGTTTTGTAATCCCCAAAACATGGGATGGAAGGAGACATGCTATAGAGTCAAACGGAAAACTTTTCTGTATTTGCAACTCAGTTATTTGTTTAGACTAATATCCTCAATCTTTGTGTGTTTTTCTTCTGGAAACAATATTTCAATTCATATATTTTCCACTCATCATGGAATAGGGCAGGCTACAGGTTACATGTTGTCATTTTCAAAATAACATTAAAAACATACAGCCCATAGCACTGATGATAATGAAACCTATTGAAATATTGTTGTAAAGCATTAAAGGGGGGGGAAAAAAAAAAAAAAAAAAAAAAAAAAAAAAAAAAAAAAAGAAATGAAAAATAGAATGAGGTTGTTAGTCTGAACAAATGCCCAAGTTGAAAGAGAAAGAGTTAAGGAAATGTAAGATGACCCACCTGCAGAGCACGCATTTGGCCAATGAGAAGCTCGGATGCATTATCGAACATAAACATCCGATTGGTGTTAACTCCTTCATTTACGATAGTTTTGACTCTTTGGAACATGCCCTTTCCTTTTGCTTCCCCACAGTCAGAATATATGTTGATCATGGACTCCTGCAACACACACACACACCACAAAAATGAGCAGAGATCACCAGTAGAAAAAGAAGGATTCGAGACAAAATTAAAATATTAAAACTTAAAAATTAAAAGAAAAAAAAAAGAAAGAAACAAATTAAAAAAAAAAAAAAAAAAACCATAATAAAACTTGAAAATTTTGAGAAGAAACAAAAGGAATAGTTAATGATTTAAAAAAAAAAAAAAAAAAAAAAAAAAGAAAGATGTGTTCTTTTTTTTAGTTTCATCCCTTTTTCTAAAATAAAGCAGGATTATAATCTGGTTTGCTGAGCTAATGTTGGTAATAAGCTACAAATGTATTCTAATCCCACAGTATTTTGTTTTTCATAGTTTGTGCAATGAAATTATAAATCAAAGAGTGTTTTAAAGCAGTATCTCCATCTTTAATTTTTATTGTCATCATTAATAAGAAAATGATTTTAAATTTTCCTGAGAAAACAATGAATGTATAATGAAACACCTCATGACAACAGAACATGCTGGCTAAACTGCAATAAAAAAACATAGATAGGAACAATGGTTCAAAAAAATTTCAGTTATAAACAGACTATATATGTTACAACTGTAAGCAGGTTTTGTTTATCAATTATTAAGTGAATAGCATAAAAAAATGTCTGTGAAATCTTCTATTTGTTTTATTAATCTTATGTCAGCATAGGAGAAATTCCATATGGGAAATTCCTACCTTTTGGTTGAAAGGGAATGAAAAAGTGTCTTCAGGTTGCTCAAGCTGACATGGGATAAAAGTAATTGTTACATATCAGTAAAGCAATAAGAACAAACAATTCTAAAGTAAAAAATATAAAGTATCAGATAGAAAAACATCAATTTGTTGGCAGCATCTTCCTACAGTACTTTTTAACCATCAGGAATTTTGGTAAAATGAGATGAAAAAAGATAAAATTCTTCATTTATTATTTGTCTACACTCATAAATTTGGTAATATCATAGTTATTTGCAAAAGAATTTTATTTAATAGAGCATTGTTTTAAATGTTTTGTAGGAAACTTGGTGTGATTAACAAAGTTATTGTTTTAAATCTGAAGTAATGTTATAATCTGAGCAAGATTTTCTATAACTCCCCTCCCCAAAAAAACTAAAACTAAATTGAAATAAAAGAGAGGAATTTCTCTATTTTTATTAGCTGATAAGAGTTTCTTATTAAAATAATAACTTTACTTTTTTAATAAAAAGAAATTTATGGCAACTATATCCAATTAAAAATATTTTTGCTTGTGTTTCTATATCCTAACATTTCTTATTTAAAAATCCCTCGGCTATTAGTGAATGGATTTATTTCTTAATCAAAAGGTGAAACATGAAAGAAAATCAACATATTGCCAAAGGAGATGGAGAAGGAAATATAAGAATTAGTAAAACTTAAGAGAATTCAGAGATGATAAATGAGAGGAAAAAAAGACTTGCATTTAATTTATAGATTTTTCTAGAAAATCTTTAAACATATGAAAGTAAAGTTAAAGAAAATAATTGGTTCAAGTATGTAGTATTGGGGGAAAATATACAACATAGGCCAAAGGTTTGGGGGCCATCCTCTGGATTTTGAAGAATTGCCTAATAATGGAAGGTTGCTTCTCCAAAATATTCAATAATAATAATAATGATGAAATTAACCCATTACTATCTAAATATTTTTTTGAAATTTTTAACTTTTTTTGCCTAATCGTTGCTGGCTAATGGTAAGCATAAGGCTGGTAGATTTTTAATTTTTGGTAACCTCTTCTCTAAGAAATTAGATGCCATGCACTAATGAGTTAAATAGTTTCAGCATCCTAGCTTAGTAAGAGCTAATTAAACGAAAGAAGGTATGAATCATTTCTGATTGAAATCCAGAGCATGACCCCCTAACTTTTGGCATATCACTACTTGCTAATATAGTATATTTTAGAAAGGTTATTTTATAAATCATCAAGTCAAAAGATAACTATTTACAGCTTGGTAGGTTGCAATATCCAATAACAATTCATATTTACAAACTTAGACTTAAGAAACAAAATCATGACCAATGAAATTTTGGATGGAGTAATGTTAGCAAAAACAAATATCTTTTCTATTTCAGTGTCAGAAGACACAAGTTAGTAATATTTATAGTAGATATGTCGTTTATTGATTTCTAAATTAAAAAAGGCTTCAGTAATTGTCTTGGTATAAAATAACAAAAGTATACTATGATTATTATTTGTGGATTCTTTAGGTCAATTTAATCATCATTGTCCCCCTCTCCTCAAATACTATATTTTGGATGTTAACCTTCTGACCTTGCTTCTGCAGTCCAGAATGTTGTTGATTCTATGGGGTTATATATGCATCTTTAACGTTACCCTGTTTTTGTGCCTGTATGCCCTTCATTCTTTCTCTAACTGTGGCCACTCATTGACCTTCACCCATGCTACTATGTCCATGGGATCCCAAATTCATTGCCTGTTGTTTCCTGAGTAGAATATACTTCTTCAGTCTTGTAAGCAGTAAATGATTCATTTTTTATATTGTATGGGTGACTGGACTCAAAAATCTAGTGAATGTTGGTTTATAGATGTCCTGAATCCATACTTTGTGCAGATTATTAATAAATCCATCGTTTGTTTCTTTTTCCAAAGTGTACTATAGATTATCTTACAGAATTCATATGGTATAGCAGCACTTTCAGATTTTTCTGATGAAGTCAGAGTATGAAGGTGTTATCTACCTATCTCAGGTGTTGGTTTCAGTGGTATAGTTCTGAAAGCCATTTTTTCAAAGTACTTCATGTATATATTTGCTATTACTGGAGATAATGGTGATCTTGTTGACATATCTACTTACTAATATATATTAGTGGAAATATCAGGAAATGTGTTGTTTGTATGAAATGCTAGCATTTTTGTTAGGTTGTCTACTGGGATGCTGCTGCCTTTAGTTACTACTAAAGGTAGTTGCAAAGAGTCAGACCTTTGCTTAGCACCAATTCCTTGGATATGTACTTAGCTGATACACAACGTTTGTGGAATGAGATCAATAGACAGCTGCAGTAGTGACTAAAAAGACTGAAGAACTCTGCACATATTCTCTGCTCAGATGACTCAGTAAGCAGAATATCAACATTAATAGTATGTGCATAGCACTAATCAGGAAGAAGCAGGCAATGAACTTGGATGTGGTATTGTATATCAAGCTCAAGGAGTAGTCAATGAGGAGGTTGGGACACATGCACAAGAAGCAACTGACTAAATAGGGATGGGGGGGGGACTGGGAAAGGAATACATATGTGCTCCCCAAGAAGAATTCAACAATATTCCAAAACACAGAAAATATCCAAGGAAGGTTGTAGGGTACATTGTTAAACCAGTCCTAAGAAAACCCATATACAATAACTAAAACAACCCATGTGAGAAAATTCAGGTAAGAAGTATTATTAAAATATTCTAAAATGTTTTTAATGACCATAATTCTCACTTCAACAAGTTTTTACTTATTCAATCTTTCAACTTCAATTATAATTTTGTTTTCAAAGGGTTAAATTTTTTCAACATTTTACAAATGTAATTTCATCTATACTAGATATTTAATCTGTAAAACACTGAAATTAAAACATTAAAAAAATAAGTAATATTAATTGGGATCATCTAACTTGTGATCAAAACATTCTCAATGTACAGGCTATTTATTGTTTTCAGGGTTTTAACAATACAACACTTGACAAACTAGCAATAATTGATAAAAATACTCTTTAATATTGCAATCTAAAGATATAGTGAAGCTTGTCAATATTTGTAAAGCTAAACCTTTTTGAAAATTTTAACTGATCCAAAAAAATCATCACTATTAAGTGTAGAGACAAACTCGGGCAAGAGAAATTGACATATGGTGTAGGAAAATCTTTTGAAAGCCTTAAGAGTTTATCAATCAACAGATGTAGAATACTTGAAAAAGTGAATTTCTTTTCAGCAAAAATAATAATGTTGAGAAAATTGTTAAAAACAGAAAAGGTACTTTCCTATTACCTACCTTCAAATAGTTTGAATGATGGCAAAACAATAAGTAAAAAAGCAGAGAATATTACATTTAACTTATTTTTAATATACATTTCATAAGTGAACTCAATACAGCAGAAGTTAAAATAAATTGTTCAAAAAGATATTTCCTTCAAGATGAATCATATGATTTTGTTGCCGATGAAAAATTTATTTTAAGGTTTCTTAATTTGAAATTCCAACAGATCTCTCAAGTTGATTGCACATACATTTATAACATACAAAATATTAAATATTAGCTATAAATGGAATTTGAGGAGGTCAATGTAACAATATAAATGTCCTTCATAATTTTAACCAAGACTAAGTCAATGGGAGTTTAATTTGCACATATAAAATGTGAAAATGCACATTTTAATCCATGCCAGCAAAGATTTTACCATATTCTTCTATGTGCTGTGTCCCTTTAGGATGTTGGTGAACATGGCTCGCCACAATTTCCTGTTCTTCATAGCTCTTAATAAATTTTGTCTTTTTTATCTTTCCTAAACACTGTTCTGCCATTCATTTATACAAACTTGCTAGGTAGGCAATGCACTGTTTTTCTCTGTTCCTTTTCCCTTCAATCTGCCTTGTGAGTATCATATTTTTCAAGCCCTCCTTCTTCATTATGTAATCTAGAAGTTTCAACTGTCTCTTTCTGATGTTAAGTATAAGTATCCTTTTTGCTTCCATTTTTTCTAAAACTTTGTTGTTGCTTACATGTTCAGTCCATGGCATACTCAGCATCTTCTGTAGAACCACATTTCAGTTGCTTCGTCTTTTCTCCATCTGTGAGGAGATTGTCTAGCATTCACTACCATATACTGATGCTATGTAACAGTTTAGTACTCTCTTCTTTGTTTCTAGTGAAATTTTTCTGTGTTTTAATACTTTGCTTAGCTTTTGGAAGGCAACTTTTGATATCCCAATGCCCTTTTTGATTTCAGTGACCCACTTTCTGTTCTC